ATAATCAGTCCACACAGCACCACTGTGTAGCTTCTTAAGTCCCCTTCTTAAACCTTTTATAATAGAATTCACATTGAATAACTAAAAACTTGTTTAGGGTACTGCTCCATTGCAGAGCTCTTGCCTGCTTTAGGCAAGGTCTGAGGTTTGATCTCCAGCAGTTCATACACACACGCACACACTGTTATCCTAATAGGTTTTGTAAAATTGTTAATTTTTATTTTTGTGTGCATTGGTGTTTTGCCTGCATGTATGTCTGTGTGAAGGCTCCGGATCCCCTGGAACCGGAGTTGCAAACAGTTGTGAGCTGCCATGTGGGTGCTGGGAACTGATCTGGGTCCTCTTGAAGAACAGTTAGTGCTTTTAACCACTGAGCCATCTCTAGCCCCCATAACCGTCTTCTTGAGGAATGGGTTGCAGCACTGGGCCCACATTCCTACACAGCAGTACAGTAGGCTGGAGCGGGATCCTGCCCGCCCACTGTCATTGCCATGTGTGCCACAGTGGCGTCTGAGCCACTCACTTCCTTCTTGGCTCCCTGGGTGCTGAGTCTACAAACCCCACAGACGTTGATGCTGTTAAACGTCATGTTTATCTTTTGGCATTGAATGAAATTGTCTGATCTCTCTACTTTACTCTAAAACAGTACCGTTTAGTAAGTGATTTTTTTTTGTGTGTGTGTGTCTGAGTGTATGTGTGTCTCTGTGTATGTCTGTATATCTGTCTGTATTGGTGTGTATGTGTGTCTGTGTGTGTCTATCTGTGTCTGTCTATGTGTATGTGTGTGTGTGTATCTGAGTGTATGTGTGTCTCTGTATATGTTTGTGTCTCTGTGTATGTGTGTATATCTGTCTATATCTGTGTGTATGTGTATATGTGTGTCTGTGTGTGTCTCCAGGTATGCCTTGATTATCTGTCCTCTAAGTGCCAGGGAGTTTTCTTTTTCTTTTTTCCTTCCTTCCTTCTTTCCTTTCTCCTTCCCTCCTTCTCTTCTTCCCTCCCTTCTTCCCTCTCTCCCGCCCTCCCTCCTTCCTTCCTTCCCTTTCTTCCTTTCTTCCTTCTTCTCTGTTTCGAGTCAGGCTTTCTCTGTGTAGCCCTGACTGTCCAAGAACTCACTCTGTCAACCAGGCTGGCCTCGAAATCAGATATCTGCCTGTCTCTGCCTCCTGAGTGCTGGGATTAGAGGTGTGCACCACCACCTGGCAGGGAGTTTTCTGAACTTGACAGTTCCTTCACTTCCATTGGAGCGCCCCCCTCCCCTTTTTGGACAGTTCTAACTATGTAGCTCTGGCTGGCCTGGAACTTGCTATGTAGACCAGGCTAGCCTTGAACTTAAAGAGATCATTTGCTTCAGCCCAAGTGCAGGGATTAAAAATTTGTGCCAGTATGCTTGGCCATAGGCTTCTTGAGACTTTAAGAGAATGACCATACAATTTAGGTCACAGTTCTTTGATCTTAAAATTGAGACTAAACCAATGCCAGTATTTTCACTTGGGTAATTAAAGTTTCTGTGTTTCAGTTGTATGTGCACAGACTGCAATCCTAGATGAACTAGGTTGTGTCTACTGGCCCCTCCCCTCCAGTTCTCTTTCTTAGTGCTGCTTTCTCGGGAGATAATGTTGGAGAAGAAAGGTCAAAGATAGGAATGTCCTGTTTCACAACTCGCAAGCAGCTGAGGTAGTTGAACAGAGGTCAAGAACCCGAGGATTCCCGTCGCTCTCCTCTGTGCTTTGTGTGCTAGCAGGGGCAGTGTTGAACTGTCACGAGCTCACATGTCACTCCGAGGCCACACCACTCTTGTCAGTGAAAATATATACCACATTTAACCCACTAGAAGGTTGATGTGAGCGTTCCTTCATCAGGACAGAGGTGCTAGAGATGCGGTGTGGTAGGTAGAGTCTTTGACTAGCATACAGGAAGCCTGGGTTCAACCCGGCACTGAAAACAAATATCCGGCCTGGTGGTGCACACCAGCAATCCTGGCACCCTGGTGATAGAGGCAAGAGGACCAGAAGCTCAGGTTCATCCTTGGTTTTGTATCAACTTCAAAATCCTGGGTTTTTTTTTAAAGATGAGGGTTGTCGCTGCAGAGACAGCTTAGTGGTTAAGAATATGTATTGTTCTTGTTGAGCCTACATTTGGTTCCCAGCATCCAGACAGTAGCTAACAACCATCCTTAACCCCAGTCCCAGGGACTCCAGTACCCTCTTCTGAACACTTCAGGTACCAGGCATGCCTGTGGTGCATAAACATACATGTAGGAAAACATACACATAAAAAATCTAAAAATATTAAAATAAAAAAATTTAAATGAAGGTGCTAGCAAGATAGCTCCATAGGTAAATGCCACCATGTCAGGTGACCCGAGTTTCATACTAGGGACTCCATGGTAGAAGGAGAAAGCGACTCTCACAAGTTGTCCTCTGACCTCTACAGTCATTCCACGGCTCGTGGACACCCACACAGATACACAGAAATAAATTAAAAGTGTGACTTAAAAATAATAAAACAACATAAAACATTTAGGGCATGGTGACCATTGCCTTTAATCTCAGCTCAAAGGAGGCTGAGCCAGGAGGATCTCGAATTATGTACCAAAACCTTGTCTCAAATCACAAAGGACTAGAGAGATCATGTAGTGCTGCCCCCAGCAACCTCATGGCGGCTACAGCCATCTGTGACTCGAGTCCCAGGGAATCCAGTGCTTCCTAGGGCACTGCACACACAGGACACATGCATGTGCCATATGTAGGCAAAACACCCTAGACACAAAATAACAAAACAAATTTAAAAAACAAATGAACCAGTAATATTTCATTATTGCTACCCTGCAATAGCAAATCTGGGATTGTGCAGGAGTATTGTATGGCAGTGGTCTGTTTCGTTATGCATCCGAGAACAGGCTATTTTCTCGGAAAAGAGATTTAGCTCAGTCTATTCGAGGACATGGGGCTAGCACTTCCCTCTACTGAGGGGCCTTCTCTGTGTCACCTGGTGGATGGCGCCAAGGGAGGCTCACTCGCAAAAGGAAGAGAACACTCGGAAACCAAGAGCCAGGAAGTAGTTCACCCGCTCTTATTCATTCATTCATTCATTCATTCATTCCTATTCTCTCTCCCCTCTCGCTCTCAGCTGACCTCAAACTCAGCCTTAGCTCCCTAGAAGGACTGTCCCTTTTGTTTCTTTTTGTTTTTTTTTGGGGGGGTGGGGGGGAGTGGGGTGTTTTCAAAACAGGGTTTCTCTGTGTAACCCTAGCTGTCCTGGAACTGACTCTGTAGGCCAGGCTGGCTTTGAACTCAGAGAACTACCTGCCTCAGCTTCCTGAGGCTGGGATTAAAGGCATGTTCCACCACCACCATCTAGGACTGTCCCTTAACAGCTTGCCCTCGTGACCAATCCTTCCCCTCACGACCTAACCGTCTCTCATTAGGCTCCACCTCTTCGGAGACTCCTCCCACCTCAGCCTCATATGGGGGACAGATTCAGATTATAGCATGAAAATGCTAGCATAGCCAATCTCTAGATGAACCGACGTGTGTTCGCTGTGGAGCCCAGTTGTGGACGGGTGTTCCGATCCTGCAGACTGGAGTGGCAGCAAGCACGCAGCGAGTTCCCCCTGCATAGCTGTGTCCCCGTGCTGTGAAGGACGGGTGGAGAGCATGCAGGCTTATGACGCAGTTTAATTCATCGGCAGCATCAAAGATTTTAGTATCCACTGAAGATTCCCTTCTCAGACGTTATGGCTTTAGGCCCCTGGAGTATTTCACTGAGTGAGGTGTTAAGTGATGTCTGTCTACAGGACCCTCCTGCGGTGAGTCTCCCAGTTTACCCGGCTCTTGTCATCCTTTCTTCAACAGTGCTCTACAGTTCACCTCACCCTAGTCTGTAAGTTTGCGTGCATCGCTGCCATTAATTTTTTAAGCAATGAATATATTCTTTTCATTCACTCAGTAACATTGCAAAGTAGACTTTGGCAGGGGCAGTGGTGGTGCACGCCTTTAATGCAAGCACTGGGGAGGCAGAGACAAGCGAATCTCTGTAAGTTTGAAGCCAACCTGGTCTACAGAGTGAGTTCCAGGACAGCAAGGGTATACAGAGAACCTCCCCCACCACAAAAGGCAGGCTTTGTGAGAAAACGTGTCTTCTATGCAGAAGAGCTGAGACAGAAGGATTGCTGTTTTGCGGACAGACACTGCTGCACAGTAAAATACTGCCTGCCCCCAACGTTGTTTTTGTTTTTGAGAACGGGCTTCACAGTAGACAACCCCAGACCAGACTGGATCTTGTGATCCTCCTGCCAATGGCTTCTGAGGTTATAGACGGCCATCCTCGCTCTAAATATTAATTTGTTTTTCTGTGTATTTATGAGTACTTGCCTGCGTGTGTGTATGCGCACGTTGTCTGCTTCCCTGGTATAGGTGGCTATGAGCTGCCTTGTGGGTTAGGCACCGAACCCTGGCCACCTGCAAGAGCATTGCCCACTCCATTCCTACAGCTCCTCATTTGTTTGTGGGCACACACGTGGGGTCAGAGGATAACTTCTGGAGCTCATTCTCTCCTTCCACTTTCCGGGCTTCAGGGATCAAATTGAGGTTGTCAGACTTGGCAGCAAGCCCCTTCACTCCCTGCGCCATCTTGCCTCCCTGACAACCTTTTCCTAACAAACCCACTAATGCTCGCTGAGTGTAGAGTGACTACATTTTTGCTAAGCTCCTGGTTAGAAGTCTGTCAGTGCGCTGTTGATGCAGGTATAGCTGCTGCCTGCACATGCAAGGTCCTGAGCTGCACCTATTATTACTGCAAGGGGGACTGAGTGAGAAAAGGGACATCAGCAGGGCAATTCTCAGGAGACGGCTGTGGCTTTAGAATGACTGTAGCACACCAAGACATCAGCACAGACTTTCTGAGGAGTCTGCAGTGGGATCCGCACACCGTCAGACTCCTTTTCTAAGGACCCACACTCAGAAGGGTCCTGTTCTCCTTGCTTTCAGCTTCTGGCTTTATTTTTTGGGTACATTGAAGAAGCGAGGTCTGATGTAGTCCTTATACATAGAATAGAGAACACCTGGAACAGAAAAACATTGCATATCAGTAGTGTCCACGAGACGCAGACGCTGACGCTTTCCCACATGCTTCTCTGAAACCAGCACACTTGCTATTGACACAGGTGTGCATGTGCACACACAGGGACATATTGACACAGGTGTGTATGTGTGCACACACACAGACATATTGACACAGGTGTGCATGTGCACACACACGGACATATTGACACAGGTGTGCATGTGCATACACAGGGACATATTGACACAGGTGTGCATGCACACACAGACATATTGACACAGGTGTGCATGCACACAGGGACATATTGACACAGGTGTGCATGCACACACAGGGACATATTGACACAGGTGTGCATGTGTGCACATACAAGGACATATTGACACAGGTGTGCATGTGCGCACACACACAGACATAAACTCATAAAGATGCAAATTCTATAATTTTTTAAAATTTAGAAACCAATATTGTTATGAACGTAGAGTGTTACATGCTCCCCAAGTTTACATTTTTGTTGTTTTTTGAGACGGTTTTTCCATGCTGTCCTGGAACCCAGTATATAGACCAGGCTGACTCTGAACTACAGAGATTCTCCTACCTCTGCCTCCTGAGTGTCAGGGTTAAAGGTATGGGCCACCGTGGCTGGCTCGGTAACACATGCCAGCAGGCCTAGCGCCTGGTAGGCAGAGGCAAGAGTAGCTCAGTGTCATCTTTGGCTGCACAGTGGTTGGAGGCCAGCCTAAGGTACATGAAATCCTGTCTCACAGAGGAACAAAACAAAGCACATCTTGGGAAATGCTTTGATCGGATGTTTGATCAGATTCAGGCATCTGAATTAACCAGTCACATGTTCAATATCTGCCTGTGCTTAGCAGGTCAAGGGAGTGGGTGGACTCGGAGTCAGGACAATCACTCTGGCTGCCCCATGGTAGTTTCCTAGGCTCGGTGCTGCTGCCAGCCGAGGCTAGATTGTCTGCGCTGGATGCCCTGCACTCTGCAGCCCGCCTGGCTGCAGCCCTTCCTTCTGCCCCTGCCTTCCACTCCCAGCAGGACAAACAAGAAGTGTCCCCATACATTAGCAGATTAGATTTTCCTGGGGGAACGCACTAGCTGTCGCTTCCTGAAAGCCTATAAGGGCAACCAAGCCACGAACCTTTGGAGGCTCCTCATATCTAAGCTGTGACACTTGGTAATAAGAGGACCAAACAGTAAGCACTCCGAGGCTTCGTGTTTGTCACTGATGCCACGTGGAGTAGCTGGATGCCACCACGGATGTAAGGACACACAGGGTGGACAGAAGGGTGGTGGACCGAAGGGTCCTCTCGAGGGGGTTCGCAGAGACCAAGTGCCCACTGAACCGTGACAGAGAGCTTTGTCGGTGACACTGAAGAGATGAAGACTGACAGCCGAGAGAGCATTGTGAGGAGATGGGAATGACTGACCCAGGTGGCGGCCAGGAGAGGAGCTTCGCTTTCGTGCACGCCTGTGACTGGCCAAGGCAGCTCTGCAAACAGAAGCTGTTGCCATTGAAGAGGAGTTTGTGGGTAGTGACAACCTTGGCCTCGTGGCGTTGGTGGATGGTCTGATAACAGTGAGGGCAGGTTTGGAGGTGGGGAGCTACAACTACAGCAGCTCTTCAGGTTTGGGACCCACGAAGAGAGGAGACTGAAGCAGAAACTGACCCTGTGGTATGGAGGCCACAGTGACCAGTGGCTCTCACAGCAGGAGAGGCAGCTGCAGCTGTGGCTAGAGGTTCTCACTGCAGGAAACAAAGCATGGCTGGAGAGGAGAGTGGGAAAGTAGCAGGGAACCCCCCTGAGTGACTCCGAGCTGGCCTTGCTGCTGCAAAGGCAGGCAATCCTCAAGGCCTGGCCTGGCCTAGGCCCTCTGCAGTCTGATGACAGTGCTGAGTAAATGTCTTTTAATGTGCCCCTCTAAGGTGTGAAGTTAGTGTACTCTGAAGCCTTCTTGCTACTCTCCTCCAGCAGTGAGAACTTTAGGGTCCTCATGGGGTTCTGCCAGACTTCATTGGAAATTTCGTTACGATTGCTTGGGTGAAATGTCTTGCCTCCAGAACTCTGGTGCAGTTGAACTGACAGGTCCTATTGTCGTGTTAGAAAGTTCGCCATTGAACAGGTCATGTAAGCATTGTCTGCTGGGCCAGGAGCACACACTTAATCCCTGTACCAGGAGGCCTGAAGCAGGAACATCTCAAGCTCTAGATAGCCTGGGGTACTTCCTAAGTACTAGCCTGGGCTATATAGTGTAGGACCCCAAAGCAAAGTAATTAAAGAGTTTTGGTACTACCTATGCAGTGACTGCGCTCCACAGGGCCATAGGAAGTTTATAATGTCCATAGAAAAAGAGGTCAATATATAAGGCCCATAGGAAAACAGCCAACCAGAGCCACTGTAGAAATCTTCTGCCCTGTGTATTCTATCTAGCTCATGTTTGAACATTCTAAATTATTCTTGCTTATCCTATCATGAGGATTGTTATTCTGAGTCTGGCCTGACTAAATAGCAATTTTGGGGTCCACCTTTGACTACCTAGAGATATTCTGTCTCAAGCAAACAAACCTCAGAAATGCATGCCAGGTATGGTGGGGCACAGCTGAAATCCCAGCCCTTGTGAGCCAGTGTCAGGAAGACCACCTGCACTGAAGGCCATCCAGGCTACACAGTGAGCTCACCACCACCCAAAGTGGTCCGTGCTACACAGTTTGATGTCAGTGTGACACAGCTAAAGTCATCTGACAGGAGGGAGCATCAATAGAAAAAAGCCTCTTTAAGATGAGGCTGTAGGCAAGTGTGGTTTTCTTAGTGATTGATGGGGGGGGGGGGGGCTGAAGGCGTAAGTTACAAACAATGCCACACCAATTCGGGGTTATGATTATTAGGGTGGTATTTATTTAAAGGGGAAAAAACTTACAGATCACTGTCCCAGGCAACAGCCCTCTACGCAACCAGGAAAGGAGTCTAGTCGCCAGCGGAGCAGGAAGTGAAGAGAGAGAGGAGAGGGAAGTGGCCGCTTTTTTAAAGGGAGAGAAACCACGCCCCAATGGGCTGGTACCTCAGCGGTGATAGGCTGGAGGAGTGGGAGGACCTCCCGCAACAGGGGCCCAGCCCATGGTGGGTGGTACCATCCCTGGGCTGTGGTCTTGGGTTCTATAGGAAAGCAGGCTGAGCAAGCCATGAGGAAGAAACCAGTAAGCAGCACCCTTCCATGGCCTCTGCATCAGCTCTGCCCCCAGGTTCCAGCCCAGCTTGAGTCCTGTCCTGATTTTCTTCAGTGGTGGACTGCAATGCGGAAGGGTAAGCCAGATCAACCCTTTAGTCCTCAGCTCCGCTCTTTGGCCATGGTGTTTTGTCACAGCAATAGAAACCCTAAGACATGCCCCTATCTTTTCTTGTAAGTCCTTTGCTCAGTGGGCAAAGCTTCATACCTGAAGTGGCTTCTCCTAAGTAAAGTGCTGAGTGACTACATCTGCTGATCAGATAGCTGGGAATGCATCCACTTCTGTGAGCAGAGCTGGGTGGGGTAGAGGCAGTGCTAGCACCTGCCCCTAGAGCAGTGGTTCTCAGCCTGTGAGTCGCGGCCCCCTGGGGGTCACGTAGCAGATTTCATTTACATTATGATTCAAAACAGTAGCAAAATTACAGTTATGAAGTAGCAATGAAAATAATTTTATGGTTGGGGGTCACCACAGCGTGAAGAACTGTGTTAGAAGGTTGAGAAACGCTGCCATAGGCTGTTACACAGAAAATCCCTGACTCAAAAAGCTAAAAAAGAAGCAAGGCTGTGTTGGTGCACGCCTTTAATCCCAGCACTCAGGAGGCAGAGGCAGGTGGATCTCTGTGAGTTAAAGGCCAGCCTGCTCTACAAGAGCTAGTTCCAGGACAGGCTCTAAAGCTACAGAGAAATCTTGTATTGAAAAACAACAACAACAACAAAATACCCCCTCCTTAAGGTCTTACCAGGTGAAAATAGTAAGAAACTAAGAAGCCTCGCCCCTATTAGCCTGTTTTCTTAAAGGTTTATTTTTATATGTACGAGTACCTGGAAATATGGAAGTACACACTGTGTATGCCTGATGCTGAATAAACTAGAAGAAGATTCCAGAACTCTCAGATCTCAGAACTGGAGTTACGAGTTGTTCTGAGCGACCGTGTGGGTGCTGGGAACTGCACCTGAGTCCTCTGAGAAACAGCCAGTGCTCTTAACTGCTTCATCTCTCCAGTGCCCAAGGCGAACCTTTTTATCTGCAGCATCATACTGTCTCAAGCCAATATCTATCTTCTACCAAGAATAAACAGAATAAGGAAAACAAAAGTGCACACATACACACAGATGCACGCACCTGTGCACACCTGTGGAGGACAGCTGGCCCCGAGAAACCTTACCTAGGGTCACGGCTCCCACAGCGCAGCCCTGGGCAGCGACCCGCACGTGGATGAGACGAAGGGACAGCTTCTCATCTCTTCTGGACTTCAACTTGTAGAGACCGTAGGACAGCACAGCCACAAAACCTGCCACCCCTGTGAATTTAAACCGTGAGTGGCTAAACAGGAGGCAAGTGCACAGGGCAGCTACCCGGAAGATGGGTAGTCATACTGCAGGCTGAGTGTCTCTCACCTAACACGCTCGGGGCCAGAAGCCAGGTTTGCGGGTGGTGTAGATTTTGGAATATCTGCATTGCACGCTACTTTGTGATGGACCTAGGTCTCAAAAGCAAACCTGTGTAAGCCTCACACACCTTTTCCACCTGGACTGGAGGGGTTTCCTAGATCTGCAGAGTACCTATGCTTTGATTCTGACTCCTCACGTGACAACAGGTGTGGAACCTTCCCCTCAAGGCATCATGGTGACTTGAGATTTTGAAGTATATTGAGATTTTGGATTTCAAATGCTCAACCTGTACCAAAGGGGACATTCAAAGGAGCTATAGCGGAGGACCTGCCTAGCATGGCTTGAAGCCTAAGATTGTCCCAAGCATGGCTTGAAGTTGGTGTGGCAGTCCATGTCTGTAATCAGGATGCCACTGTACAGGGAGTTTAAGGCTAGCCTGGGCTACATGAAACCCTGTGTGCTGGCTAGGTTTTTGTCATCCAGATGCAAGATGGAGTCATCTGGGAAGAGGAACCACTCTTGAGAAGATGCCTCCATCAGGGCGCCCGTAGGTCTAAGAAAGCAGGCTGAGAAAGTAAAGCAGATCAAGCCAGCGGGCAGCGTGACTTCGTTGGGATTGTCCCCGCCTCCAGTCCCTGCCTCAGCTTTCCTCCATAGCAGGCTGCAAGATGAGATGAACCAAACAGTTGTTTTTGCCGCTGTGTTGGTTTTGGTCATGATGTTTTATTTTATATGAATATATTTATGTACCACGTGTGTTCAGTACCCACAGAAGCCAGAAAATGAGACTGGATGCCCTAGGACTGCAGTTATAGATGGTTGTGAGCTACCATGTGGGTGCTGGGAATTGAACCTGGGTCCTTTTAACTGCTGAGCCATCTCTCCAGCCTCTAGACATGGTGTTTTATTACAGTAGTGGAAATTTTACTGAACAATAAACATACTCAAAAATATAGTTTTTAAGAATTTATTTAGAGAGAGAGGAAGAGAGATTGAAGGACTGAATCTGGGTGTATTTGGGAATCTGTTTTTATATTGTCTCTTGCTAGTGCACTGCAAATCTCAGGCTAGCCAGTCTGTTCTCCACCTCACATCTCATATTAGCTTGCCCTTCTTTCCTTCCTTCCTTCCTTCCTTCCTTTCTTCCATTCCCTCCCTTCCTTCCTTTCTTTCTTCCATTCCCTCCCTCCCTTCCTTCCTCCCTCCCTTCCTTCCTTCCTTCCTTTCTTTCTTCCATTCCCTCCCTCCCTTCCTTCCTCCCTCCCTTCCTTCCTCCCTTCCTTCCTTCCTTCCTTTCATTTTTTTCTTTAAGCTCAAGAGCAATTTTATTAGTGTTTAAAGGGAATACAAGGAAGACAAACTGTAAATCTCTTTTGTCTTACAGGGGCACTAGACACACGTGGCATGTATATACCTATGTATATACCTATGGAAACACTCATATACATAAAAAAAATTAAAAAAATAAATCCAAAAAAATGTTTAAGTAAAAATGTTTTTAAAAACATGGTGCTGTTCTACTTTGGGGTTCTCTGGTTCCCCTACTGATTCATGTGTCTCTCCATCAGCAGCCGCAGTGTCTGGGTCATCCAAGCCAGGAGGCAGAATGCTTCCTTCCACTTTATCTTAAACAAACAAACCCCAGAACAGAACACACTGCGCACACGTGTAGTGCAGGCACTTGGGAGGTTGAAGCAGGAGGATCAAGGAGTTAGAGGTCAGCCTGAGTGACACAGGGAGACTACCTCAAAAAACAAAAAGCCCAAAGTCTTGGTGTTAGAATATTTCCCTTTCGTGAGCAAGGCCTCTAGACTGGTCTCAAGCACTGAAAGATAAACGCTGTTTTAGCTGCTGGAGAATTAAGGCTCTAAGCTTGTCTTTTGTGAGTCTGTGTATGTGTGTATGTATACGTGCACCTGTGTGCATTGCATATAGTGGCCAGCAGACAGCCTAAGGTGTCATTCCTCATGTGCTATTCGCCCTGCTCTGAAACTCACCACGTAGGTCAGCCTGGCTGGGCACGGAGTCCTGCAGGTCTGCTGGCTCCACCTCCCCAGTGCTGGGATCCAAGTGAGCAGTCTCCATGCCCCTGGCCTTTTTATGTGGGTTCTAGAAGTCAAACTCAGGTCTGCATGCTTACAAGGCAAGCATTGTGGTCACAAAAACCTTGTTGGGATTGTAATGGGAATGACATTAAACCTCTGGATCTGTTTGGGGAGACCTCACCTCATTGCTATATTACAATATATAACTAATAGTAATTCATGAACACAGTAGGTAGTCTGTTTATTCGGGTCATTTGTGATTTATTTCATTGGAATTTTGCAATTGTCAGCACTCATGTGTTAAGTTTATACCTAAGTATTTTATTTATGATGTCTATAAATGGATTTCCCCTCTTAAACTATAGGGTCTGCGTGTGTGCTTACAGAATGCAGCCAGTTCTTATTGGGATAAGAAGTTATGGTTAATTATGTTGGCACAGGAGATCCTAGGGATAGGTAACATCCGCAGCCTTCACGGTCTCTTTGGTAGTGTGAAGAAAGAACCAGGGTAAACGATCACAGTGCTGTGTGTTTTATAGACTCATTAGTGAATGGGTTGAGGGAAATGACTAAAGTACAAGATGTATACACAGCAAAAGGCAAGCCAATAAGACAGCGACGACAGGGCCAGTGAGATGGTTGGTAGCTCGCAGACTGCTGTTGGGACCCAGTAGCCTGAACTGAGCTCCATCTCTGGATCCTACTTAAAGGTGGAAGAAAGCTGATGAAGTTATAGTTGTCTTATGACCGCCACACATGCCCTTCCAATCTCTCTCTCTCTCTCTCTCTCTCTCTCTCTCTCTCTCTCTCACACACACACACACACACACACACACACTTAGAATAAGACTTAAGGAGGGTGGAGAGACAGATGGCTCGGCAGTTAAAAACACGTGCTGCTCTCCAGAGGACCAGAGTCTGGTTCCTGTAGCCCAAGTCAGGCCTGAAACTTCAGCTCCAGGGTATCTGACACCTCTCTGGTCTCCTGCACCTGCAGGTCACATGTGGGTGCATGCACGCACACACACACACACTTATATACAGACATATACACACATTCACATACACAGTCACATACACACATACAATTTTTTAACTCCATGGGTGGTGGTGGTGGCACATGCCTTTAACCCCAGGCAAAAGCAAGCAGATAGATGATCTTCCTAGCTGTCCTGGAACTAGCTCTTATAGACCAGGCTGGCCTTGAACGCACAGAGACTCTCCTCGCTCTCCCTCCTGAGTGCTGGGATTAAAGGCATGTGCCACCACCACCCGGCTCTAAAAAATTACGATGATCTTAAACTGCTCATGCCTCCTAATGTAGAAATTTCACTTGTGGAATATTTTCCAAGAAAATAGCAAAAGTACAGAATATGACACAAAAATACTCATAATTATATCTGAGAAAAATTAAAAGCCCTAAATTGCCTGAACTATAGTGGTATATTGTGTTTTTATAAATAAAGCTTGCTTGAAGGTCAGGGCAAAGCAGCCGTACTAGTCAGCCAAACAGGCCAGGCAATGGCGGCACACACCTGTAATCTCAGCAGCTACACTAGTTAGCCATAGAGGCCAGGTGGTGGTGGAGGTGCACACCTGTAATCAGCACTAGAGAGGAATACAAGACGGGAGGAGACAGCTCTCAGTCTCTATTTCTGGAGGCAGGATCACCCACTTTTGGTCTGAGGTAGTGGTAAGAGTCAGTGGCTGGCTGCTTTGCTTTTCTGATCTTCAGGTTGAACCCTAATATCTGTGTCTGTTTTTTTTTATTATTTGTGTTACACTGAGCAGAAGAGAAAATGTACACTTACAAACTGTTATAAGAAGAGATCTCTGTGTGTTCGAATCTAGCCTGGTCTACATAGGGAGTTCCAGGTTAGCTAAGGCTACGTAGGGAAGTCCTGTCTTAAAAAATAAGAAAAATCATAGATTTATTTTCATTTATCTCACAGTGCTTCAAATTGGACCCCAGGGCCTACGTGTTGGAGGCAAGCATTCTAGTTCTGGGTCCCATCCCAATAAATCATATTTGATGGAAGTGATTTCAGATAATCAATAGGAGTATTTTGTAATACTCTGTATCTGTATGACACAGTCCATCCTGTGGCAAAATATCCTGTAACTATTGTTAAAATTACAAAAGCTAAATGAAACTTCAACAAGACATACAAACTTTATCCTTATTTGTTTCCTAGCTAAAACCCGGCTCTTCCCTTGATCAAGTCCAGTTCTGTCCTCACTAAAAGGTTCTGTCCCTTTGGGAGATCTAAGTCAGCGCCGTTCTGTTCCCAGTGTCTGTGGTCTGCAGGTAATTGAGTTTAGCCGGGAGCTTTCATCTTTGTGCATTAGACACACTGTTCCCGCAGAACACTGCCTTAATGTGTAACAGACGCGGGGGTTAATTTGTCATTACCAGGATCTAAGGGGCTTGTTTTTCCTTCTGTTGTCTCCCTCTTTTGAGGCAGGGTCTTTCGTGGCTCACGCTGGTCTTGGTCTTACTCTGTAGTGATGTTGACCTTGGAATTCAGAGTGCTGGACTTAGAGTGATCTGCCAACCTGCACTCATCCGTAAGACTTGAACCTAGCACTGTGAACAAGCTAGGCCAACTCCACCAACTGAGCTACATCCCAGCCCCCTAGGAGTAAAGTTCTCAATCATACTTGACGGCGATGTGGGGAAAACCTGTAGCAGCAAACGCCAAGACTTCCAAGTGATGCGCAGAACAGAGACAGGCGGTTCTAGCCGACCCTCAGGATGATGAACTGTTGCTCCGGTCCTCAGTCAGAAACGTGGGTCAATTCAGGGTGTTCTGTTTGAGTCCAGGTGAACTAATAATTTTAGATGAACCTCTAGGGGCTGACAAAATGACCCAGCAGGCAAGGGTGCTTGCTTCCAAGCCTGATGTTCTAGGTTTGACCCCTGGAGCCCACATAGCCGAAGAAGAGAACCAGTTCCCAAAAGTTGTCCTTTGACATGTGTGTGACAGCCCCCCCCCCCAATAAAAGAGTAAATTTAAAAACATTAGATAGGCCTGGGATGAAGTGTGTAAAACTCAATAAAAGGATAGCTAAGATCCACTGGGGTGTGAACTAGAAAGTATCCCCCAAGCTCAGCCCATGCTGCCCTGAGGGGCACGCTTCGGAGAATCAGAATGCACGCACACGGGCAGAGTCACCCCAGAGAGGATGAGCTCCTTCTCATCGTGGTTTTCCCAGGACCGTCACGGCAGGTACTTACCCACAGGGACGAACGGGGAGTCTCTCGATTTCCTGAGGAGACGGGACAGCTGGCCTTCATCCTCAGCTGCTGGCCACTCGTCTGAAGGCATACTTCTCTCTAGGGACAGCAGGGACCTGTGTGGTTGCTGTCAGCATCCCAAGAACCTGTTTCCCGCTGCTACGCTGCTCAGAGCCTGTCTGCTCACCAGAAACAGGCAGCTGTCCTTCTCTCCACCTCACTTTTCACTGCAACTGAATCCCAAACGGCGGCGGGGGCAGGGGTATTGCAATAAATGTGGAGAGAGAACCTGGCGGGCAGAGTCCTTGAATACAACACCTCGGTCCCCATCCAGTCCCCTTTCCCAGTATGACATTTGAAGTCATCTGGGACCTCAGGACGTCTCCCCAGATACCAAGACCACAGGCTTTCTCTTAGAATGACGTCGCCAGCACAGCCAAAACTAGACTTCTGATGTGCAGGTGATGGGGGTGAAAGGCTTCTGGGCTCCAGAGGATAGGGCTACCGCTCTGCACGATGCACAGTGTGCGGACTACTGCTCAGATATCTACTGAGCACCCCTAGCACCAGGCCAGGCAGCGAGAAGTGACTGTCCTCATCTGCCAGGGGTTAATGAAGACTCAGAGACAACTGAATTGCAACAGACTGAGTGGTCCAGCCTGGTGTGTGCACAGCCCACCTTTTCATGTGAACACACACACAGCGCATGGTATTCCAGCCTGGTGTGTGCACAGCCCACCTTTACATGTGAACACACACACAGCGCATGGTATTCCAGCCTGGTACACGTGCAGCCCACCTTTACATGTGAACACACACACAGCACATGATATTCAAACACAGTAGTCCACTTTATGGATGAAATTTCAACAGAAAATCAAAACCAGCGAGAGGCACCATACCTGCACGTGCTGGAGCCCAGCCGCACTGCTTGCTGACTCCTGCAGGGCCTGAGCAGCACAGGTGTAAGGCTGCCACAGATCCCTGTGATTTCCAGCTAATTGATGATCACAGGAAAACAGACAACCCTGAGGGAGTGGCCAGCTGGCATTGGCTGAGGTCTCCCACCCTCCTGCTAAAGACCCAGAAGCAGCAGCAGCTGCCACGAATGTCAGGCTTTGGAAGATTCTAGGTTTCATTTGCTTTTCCAGACAGGGTCTAATGGTATAGATAGTCCTGGCTGCCCTGGAACTCGCTCTGCTTCTGCCTCCTGAGTACTGGGATTAAGATTGTGCGCTGCCACACCTGGTTAGAAGAAAGTCTGACTGTTCAGGAGGTTCCTGGGACCTCTGTGACTGTGACTCTTTTAGATATCCCTGCCCAGGACTGAAGGGAAGGAAAGTGCGGGGTGCCATCAGGGAAATGCTGTCCAAATCCAAGATCCAGTTTATCGCTTAGGAATCTGGCACAGTTCTGACCCTGGGCTGGATGGAAGGACACAGCAGATAGGAACAAAAGAGCACTAGCACAGAACAGCTGGGGCTTGCAGCTCAGCTGAGGTGCGCCTGCCTCGCATACATGAAGCCCTAGATCCAAAGCCAAGCACAAAATAAAACAGCAGCTCACGGAAACATGAATGATAGGAGCAAAAAAAAAATGTCTTCCGATGACCAAAAATCAGATGGACAGCAGATGAAGATGAAGCCAATTATCCTGACTCCAAGGGTTCTAGAAGCCCCTTTGCTTCAGTAGAGGCACCTGCAGGAGGCATCCCACCTGCAGCCTGCAACAGCCTTTAAAAAGGATGGCTGCCTCTCGGCCAATCCAGAGGCGGGGTGGGAAGCAGCGCAGGCCCTGACTACCGGCCAGAAGATAACTTGCGTCCTAGGCCGTGAGCATGCACCCTGTCCTGGCTTCTGTTGTGCCGTGACACTCTTGAGTCTGCAGAGATCTCCCCATCCTGCCTGCACCTTATTCAAGCTCCAGTTCCACCCATCTCAGCGTGAAGGCCTTCGACCAAGCAGAGTTCACGTGTTTTTTTTTTTTCCCTTACGTCTTTTAACCGGAACTCTGGCATGTGTTCCCTCGCTCTCTCTTCTTCTCCTCTGGTAAGTTGCAGACTGTTTCCCCTCGCTATGCTCTTTGGGTGCATTTGGGGCATTCTCTTGCAATAGAAGAAACTCACATTTTGTCACCTGTCTAGAAAAAAAAAAAGAAGGGAGGCTGGGTGGTGGCGCATGCCTTTAGACCCAGCACTTGGGAGGCAGAGGCAGGCAGATCTGAGTTCAAGGCCAGCCTGGTCTACAAGAGCTAACTCCAGGACAGCTAAGACTGTTACACAGAAAAACCTGTCTAAGAAAACAAAACTAAAAAAATGGCTTGCACTTTTTACTGCATATCTCTGACCTTCGGGGGGGGGGGGAGGAGCACACCTGTAGAGGATTGAGGACAACCTGTAGGAACTGGGGCCACTTCCACCATGGGGATCCCAGGACTCGAACTCAGTCAAAAGGCTTGGCAGCAAGCACTTTACTGGTTGTACCAGTCCACGTGGAGTTTTCTCTAGGATCCAGTCATGTGGCTTGTCATGTCCGTGTGACGGACAGAATGCCTTAGCTGACTTGACCTTTCATGACCCTGATATTTTACCAGTGCAGTCTTTTCCCTTCACAGTTCTGTGAAGCAAAGCCGTGGCCTAGAGCCCGCAACCATCCCAGCCTCCAAGCTGGTTATTTTGTAGGATTCGAGCGTGGTTGCCCTGTTTTCTCCTTAGGCTAAGATCAAGCATTTTGGGCAGACTGTCTGTGCTGTGTTGTGTGATGCCAAGAGACACCACCTGAAAACCATTCTCCCATCCAGGTCTGTGCTCTTAGCTGTTCACTGCCCTGCTGGGGGTGGCGGTGGGGCTAACCTGTAACATCTGCCAACCTCTATGGTGTAAATAGGCCAATTTCAAGCTAGTGTCCGTGACCGTGTAACTTGTAGAGAAGTGTTTCTCTCTCCTCTGCTGGTGTTGAAACAGGGTAGAAAGACAGGAAAAGAGAAAGGGACTCACCCCGGAGCCAAAGTCTCTTGCCAGCTGAGAATCCAGAGGCCCAGGACTTAAAGCTTGCTAGGAGGCTGGTCCACACAGAGACACTATTTTTACAGAGGCGGTTTCACGTGAGAGAGTTAAATGTCAGTGATGCACGTGTAACCCGATCATGGAAGACCTTTGAGCGTGGCCTTGCCCTTTTCCCAGGTGCAAACCAGGTATCTTCTGGGAATTACAAGCAAAACTTTATAGAGTTTTGTTTACAATAAAACACCTTGTAGTCTCACGTAAGTTCCTCGGGAACACTTGAGCGGCGGCTCCAGGGCCCACGGAAGGACATGTGGTCCCTGTTGCCCCCGCCTCTCTCTCTCTCTCACACCCAGGTATGACTTATTCTTCCCTGCTAGCTTCTCTCAACTTACAGGTGTAAATCTGTTAGCAGTCTCGAACCCAGCTCTGCTCTATCCTGGCTCTTCACAGAAATTTTTTGGGGCAAACTTAATGGAGGTTTTGCCTTAGTGCCGGGCTGCCTAGTGTACACAGTAAGTTTCAGGCCAGCCTGGGATACACAGGGAGACCTTGTCTCAGAAATAAATACATAAATACAAGTTTTTAATACACGGAGAGAAGCGAGTGAGGAAGGGTGGGAGCGAGGGAGGAGGTGAGCGGAGAAGGTGCAGCGGCTTGCGGGAGGCTCAGCCCCCAGGTGTCACACAGAGGTTTCAGAAAGGCTTCCGGAGTGTTTAGGAGTGTTAGAAAACAGATGAGGAACACCCCAGACAGGGAACGCAGATTTGTAGGAAGACAGTGTGGGGGGCCACGATGGGAGCAGAAGCTAAGGAATGGTCTGTGGCGGTCAGAGCTGTGCCCCAGCCCCACAGTGTCGGAGCCTGCCTTTCCATCTCAACGCTTTTATTTGGGGGCTGAGAGCTGAATTCAGGGGCTTTGTGTCCCATCATTGCTGTGTCCTCTTTGCCTGTGCATTGTGTGCGACTCTGGACCTTAGAGCCCTGTGTGTTCTAGACAAGTGTTCTACCGCTGAGCTACATCCCTAGCCCTGACTCTGTATTTTATTTAATTTTTAATTAACCTTCTATTACATTCATTTTGTGTGTGAGAGTTTTAAATGTATAATATCTGTGCAGCAATGGCAGTAGGAAAAGCACATCACATTTCCCAGGACCAGAGTTTCGGATGGTTGGGAGCTGTCATGTAGGTGCTAGAAATTGAACCCTGGTCGTCTGCAAGAGCGAGAGCTATAAAGTGCTGAGCCTTCTCTCCAACCCATCACACACGGGTGTGTAGGTGAGAGGTGAACTTGTAGGAACTGGTTTTGGCAGCAAGCCTTCTCACGGGCCCAAGCTTTGCTCTTATTTATCTGGTTTTTCAAAGCGGTTTGTCTGTGAAGCCCTGGCTGTCCTCCGCCTCACTTTGTAGACCACGGTAGCCTTGAACTTGGAGATTCACCAGCCTCTGCCTCCCAAGTGCTGGTATTAAAGGTGTGCGCCACCACTGCCCAGGAAGCTTTGCATTTTAAATAGAGGATTTTGAACTCTGATCTGAAAGCCATGAGTCGCCAAGGAGGGATTTCAGACAGGGTGTAGTGCAGGCCAGGTGCGGAGGGTCAAGCTGGGGTCAAGTCGGCACAGGTAGAGCAGTGGGCGCAGAAACAGTGGTGGGAAGCAAGGAGGGAGTTCTAAGATGAGATCGTGGTTTCAGCTCAAGTGGCAGTGACAGAAGCCATGTTACCAGATAAAAACCACAGAGGAGCAGACTGGGGTAAAGAAAGGCCCTGGTTTGGATCTGCAGATGTGAATGGCTACAGGCCAGGAAGGGAGGGCACTAAGAAAGACAGTGATTGGCTCCCATGCTGATGCCCCTGGGGGGAGAGGAGCACTAGGGTAGGTTGTTCCATAAGGCCTGAGCGGCTACAGGTAGAGTTCTAAGCTGGGAACGATAAGACAAAGGGGCTTTAGGAAAGGGGACTTCAGAGTTTAACGCCTTCCATTGGAAGGTGATGACATGATGCTTACTCGGACGCTTGGCCGTGTTTTCGTCCTGGAATGGTGTTTATTGTAGGAACATCTTTCTCTAGGCACTGAGGGTCGAATTCAGGC